GAAAGAGATAATAAATATGAATGTAAAGCGGCAGATGGATAAGAAGATGCAGGGAAATAAAAAGTGAGCACTTCCATTAAGGAGAACCCAGGATTGAACACCTATATGAACAGCTCAGACTTCCAAAAGCAGACTACAGTTAGGCTTTTGGACATCTGGCCACATTCATCTCATAATGTATTTGTGTTCTTACACTTTTTGTATGAGTTTGTCTCAAGCTCATAACTTTATTTGACCATAGTTGTTACAACTTATTGGCTCTTCAATCTACGAGCAAATTCTGTCCCCAACAACCCACTGAAGTCAGTGCAATATCTCATGTTTCAGTGAGGAGCCTTGCATGTATTCTGGCCAGTTAAAATGACACTGGAATGGTTTAATAGCCATGTAATAGGATACAGAAGACTAGCTTGTTAACAGCAGGAAAGGAATTAGTATCCTATGTAGTTCCTGCAACACTCCAAAGTCGTCATGTGCAAGCTCAGGTAAGCCTCTAGGCTTACAGCATATTTACACCAGTATAACATACATTAGTTTTGCATGCCACTGTAATTACACTGGGATCTGGAGCAGACAACCAGTTATCCTGGAGTCACTGCCCACAGCAGGTGCTAGTACAGGTAGCAGAAGCAAGTGCCAAACAGCTTCCCAGACATAGCTGTGGATACACAGCACTTGCATGAGTGTAGTTTTACCCTGGATTTATCCCAGGATAATTCTATATCAGATTCAAGTGAGTATCCAGTCTTTGTTTGCACCAACAGTGGAAGGTCTGTGCACTGGTGTTGGTGATTTTTCAGTAAAATGTTCTGATACTAAACACCCTTGCCTGGGGGAATAGCATGTACAGGGTGGAGCAACAGATGAAGGACTGGAGCTTGAAGCTGGGAAATATGACTACTATGAGGGTGTGCCAGGTTTCTGAGGCCAGAAGTGGCTGTAACAGAGACAGCATTGTCAACCCTAAGCACTCACCATGAGCCAAGAGCCAGGCCTCCTAACATCATGCACTATTATTCATACTAAATTATAGATTTTTTTTTTCATCTCCTGGTTTTTCCAATCTTTAAGGTTCCTGTTCTCAAGCTTTCCTTTACCACAATGATGGGTAGAACTTTTTTTTTTTTTTTTTTAAAGAAAGATTCTTGGGCAATAAGACTCCAGGAAACAGGGCTGTCAGCAAAAACATCAACCAAAACAAGCACTGGGATAAGCTGGCTTCTCTCCACAAGAGCCTTAGGGCCTTGTTGCACGAGACACTTGGCACACGTTTTATCTGAGTTGATAATGAGCATTACTGAGCTGTATTAAAAGTTAGAACATGTTCTGAGTAGTTGCAATGTAATGCTTACTACAGTTGAAGATTGCTGGTCCCAGCTTGCATACCATACTGGAGTCCTGAATTGGCTCTGGTGGAGCTGGACCAACAGGCAGCTGATTGCAAGTCCCAGCCCTGCCACCACACAGAATCATAGAAAATTAGGGTTGGAAGGGACCTCAGGAGCTCATCTAGTCCAACTGCCTGCTCAAAACAGGACAGTCCCCAACTATATCATCTTACCCAAGGATTTGTCTAGCCAGGTCTTAAAACCCTCCAAGTAAGGAAATTCAGCAACCTTTCTGGGTAACCTGTTCCAGTGTTTTACTACCCTCCTAGTGAGAAAATGCTTCCTAATATCTAACCTAAACTACCCTTGCTGCAACTTGAGACCATTGCTCCTTGAGAGCCTTGAACACCAGAGTCCTGAACTAGCCCTGGTGTGGTGCTGGGGCTGAACCAATAATCGGTCCCCACACCACACCAGAGTCTTGAACTGGCTCCACTGTAGGGGGGCAAGGGAGGAGATAAGGGATAGGGGATGGGGAAGGAACTGACAAACAGCTGATTTTGGTCTCAGCTCTGGGACCACACTGGAACCAGTTTGAGACTCCAATGTGGTCCTGGGTGCAGGATCCACAATCAGCAGATTGTAAATTCCAGCTACAGGAATGATTATCTCCATAGAGAAATCTGACATTAGCTCAACATGTGTTACTTAATCCAATCTGAAGATACTCCTGCAGTGCTACATAACTCTGATTATGTACAATATAACCATACAAATAAAACTGTGCAAAAGCAAAACTGCTCAGAAGGGAGTACCTCAAAAAGAACAACTTAAAGGACTGCCTTTAAACTTTTTAGGCTTTGGATGGAAATGAATGCAATCCATCAAGCTATGCCAGGACTCATTCTATCAGGAGGATGCAATGAAAGTTGATGTAGTTGCAAAAGAATCAAATCAATCTTCAGCTGCTGCACGGATTCTAAAGAATGCTGTGTTTTTCAAAGGAGATTTTTTTTTTTTTTTAATACCCGATTAATACCGGAAATTACTTGTACGTATAAGGTCATTTTTCTGCAAAAAGCCAGGAAAAATGCAAGAGGCATCATATGATAGATTCTTCAAATACACTGACTGTTATTATACGAGAGGTGAGCGGCAAGTTTGGCTGTCCAGTACAAAATATGATCTGACAACTCTTGGATGTCTCTTCACTGATGCAGTCTTTCTTGATGATAAGAAAACATTGGTGTGAGTAGCAGTGGATTATGTTTTGTTTTGTTTTTTACTTACTACCAGAAGTCCTTCTAAAACCTGAATTATTTTTTAACTCCCTCTATTCTTTATGACACTGTTTCTCTGGGTACACTGATTACAATGGGAAGTTGTGGATCAGTCCTTACTGTCCCACACTTTGTGACGCAAAGTTTATATTGTCTGGATATGAGGAAAGTGCTTTTCCTTGCTGGCTTTGATGTTCTTTAATAAAAAAGCAAATTCATTCAAAAAGATTGCAATGGTTCTTATGAATGACCTGGCCCTGCTCCTGCCATCCTTATGTATGCGACTCATCCCCTTACCTTGAAAAACGTTCATGAAGATCTGATCTGCGGTTGAACATACATGTGTCTTCTTATATGTAAGGGCTCTAAGATAAGGGCCTGTATTTACTCATCTTGCTATTAGTTTCTTTGGCTAATTGGTTGCTTTGGCTGTTGGACCCACTTTACTTGTCGTGGCACCCCAAGTAGCTCAGAAAGCCAGGCACAGGATCTGCTCCAAAGTTACTATAATGGAACTAGCCTCAGAGGGAGATATTCACCCTTGTATAACGAGTCAATTATTTTTACTATGCAGCAGCTTGGAAAAGCCCTGAGCAGTACAGACACCAAAGCTCAGGAAAACATTTGGTTCTATTTGGAAGCAGTTTTCTTACAGCTAAAACAAATGGGAGAAACTCTTACTCTTACATAAAAGCTTATCCTTGGCAGGAGGATGGAGGGACCTGCCTAGGAAAGTTTCCTTCTTGCCATGGTGGGAAGACATGGATTTTTCAGACCCTATAATTTACAATCAGCTGTCACACAGCATTGTGGAAATCATGGAACTTCAGACATCACTATGGGCTGAAAGCTTCTCAAGCCATAATGGCTGGGTGTGTTGTGGACACTGGAACGGGAAGGGAACAGGTCAAGATCTCTAGTCAAGAGGCTGGACGCAGTGGACAGACTCCCCCTAACTTCAGGAGCTGAATCAGGCCCACGAGGCAATTGGTCCCATGAAGGCTAGGGATACTAGTAGGAGGTTGCTCTCAGCTGATCTTAGGGATCTCAAAGGGCATGAAGGAAACGAAGGTCCCTTAGGTACGTAGGACCCAGACCATTTAGGGACTTAAGGGTCGATGGACTGGTTTTTCACTCTTCTGAGAATAGGTTGGTTTGTAACTTCCCAGACCAGATTCCAAATCAAACTGCAGCTTTTGCTACCTACTTGCTTCTTTTTTCTCTTTCTTTTTCAAAGCCCAGTGTGATATCTTTTAGCCATGAGTAAATAAACAACCCTAATCATCAGTCATGAAATAATGACAGTGCACAGAGCTATGGATAGCCATGCATTTTGCTAGATGCATTTTTGGTAGTCGGCTCACTCCTGAAATTTCTGATCCCTATTATATGATTATGGTTCGTGAATAAACGAGCAAGATTCCTTGTTGACCCGCAGTTTCTAAAATGCAACCAGTGCTCCATGCCTTTGCCTCTTTCCATTACTTTGATGTATATTTCTCATTATTTCCTAAGTAACACAAAATTAAACTGAACCTGAGGTGGCAGGGAAATCAATCTCCTCCTGAAAATCATTCCAGTTTACAAACTCTATAAATCTTTAATCTGTTCACAGACTCCATGAAAACAAATTGCATCAAGGATACATCAAAGAGAACGCTGAAAAAACATATTTCAAATGGCTAACATCTATGCAGCAATAATATTCTTCCTAAAACATTCAGACGAGTGTTTTTAGAAAGACGGATGATGTATAAATGATCTTTTTAAGTTTTTTTTCACATGCTTTCAATTTTCTGTAGATAATTAGTCATTGTAACAAGAACATTTTGAGTTTTAAATACACATTTTGCTAGTAAAAGTAATTCACTCAAGTTGGTAATGTGATGACCCTTCTGTGATTAATTAAAGTTTCAGTTTGAGGTATTCTACAGAAGAGCATTCAAAAGCTTAGTAAAACACAGTCAGGGCAGTTAATATAGACAGTGGCTAACACTCAGGTCCAGAGCTCTACAGGGTTAAGGCCTATTCTTAAGTATAACTTGTCAAACTCATGCTTATAATTAGATATCTAAATCCATGTTTAGATACTTAAATGAACAGTCTGATTTCCAAAATATCTTAACTCCAAAAAAAGGATTAGGGACCCTAGGGACCCTGTAAGTACAAAGTCTGAAATTCTGGCCTCCCTGTATAGAGAAGGCCAGGTACCCACATTGCCTAAGTACCTACATTTCCCCAATTGTCAAATAACCTTTTCCTACCCTACCTGTCTGTTATGACCCTTGAATTTATTAGCATTTGCAGGGGAAATTGCTAAGAATTAATATTACACAACTATCACGTCCCAGCACAGCTTTCTTCTCACTGCTATTAACAGATTTTTACTTACCCCTTTCTGCAGATATTTCTTTGCCATTGCCTATTATTTCTCCAGATCACTACTGGCATGCTGAGCAGGTTGCTACCGAACCAAAAATGAGGAGCAGAGGAAAGAAGTGAGACGTAGACAACTAACGTGATCAGAGCAGTTTCCCTCCATTCCCTTGCCCCTGGGTATCTCTAAGCAAAGTCATGCACTCAGAGACAATATGAAAGAGAAGAAGCTAATGCCTCTGCAATGTAGGAGACTTCAGTTAACTCCCTCCTCTGAACTGGCCCACCACCCACAAAGTTTTCCTGTGCCCCTGGCTGTCCTTAGTGCTTGTGCTGTGTTGCCGTTCCACCTGATTAAGTTGTCTGGCCCTACTGCTGAGAGGTATGATAGTGATTAAGACTTAGACCTGCTTAGCATATGCTTTATACATCAGGCCCCACTAATAACAGGCATTCATCCACTTCCTTTCAAAAGCCTATTCTAGGGCCCCTGGGACTTGAGCTTGACCTACCTCCCCCTGGGGTAACAGCAGAGTTTAGGCTACTTTGCTCGTGGCCCTCCATGGAAATGTAGGTGATTACAGGGTTAAGCGGCAGCTGAGCAGCACTTTTGAAAATGCCAGTGATGTCTAAACAGAGGACCTGGGCACTTAGTATGTTTGAGGATCCGGGATATACGCTGCATTCTGGTGGATGCTTCAACCCCTTTCAACTTTTCAGGTGGCACAAAGGGATTACATTTTTATAATTCTTCTAGCAAAGAGAACCTCCATCCTGGTGTGGAAGAAATACTGAGACAGGGGGTCAGGAAGCCCCGCTGTGCTACGGTGGCCCGTCCCTTGCATAAAACCTCTAACCACTCTTATACCCGTGGCAAAATCTAAACCATCGCCTACGATGCTCTAGCTCTTACAGGAGATAGGGGTGATATATAATGGCCAAAGAATTAAAAAGCAATAACAAGCTCCTTCAGAGCAGAACTTGGAGATGGGGGGAGTGCAGGTCATAGCATTTACATTCATGCTTTTATACCGCAGCATGACTGATATACCACAGTCTGCGTGATGCACAGTGGTGTCCCTGAACATGCCAGTTCCTGCAGATCAGTAAATATTGGCAGTGAGATAACCCCCCTGTATTTCTCCCTCTGCTCCATATGGCCTAAATCACACAACCTTTAGCATGTTTCTTCTCAGAACACCCCTGTGATGCAGGGAAGCACAGTAATCTCCATTTTACTAATGGGAAACTGAGGCAGACAGAGACAGGTCACACAGGAAGTCTGTGGTGCAGCAGTGGGCTGAAACTAAGTCTCTGGAAGATATCTAATCTACTCCACCAGCCTTCCTTGCACTTCATGGTATTTCTTGTAGTAAGTGCATGGAAAAACTGCAGCTACCGAGGGAAACTTAGCTATCTTATCTATTTTAAGAAAAGCTACCACATTTGAGAGGCTGCACAGTGCAGTATATGGATATTTTCTCTTCTTTCACCTTGACAGCTGTGAACTATTGACTTCATTCCTATTCCATTTATCCCACTGGGAACTCTTAGATTAAGTAGCCAGGAAAATTAATCATCATGAACACGCATGCCTTGTGAAGAACTGCAACTTTTAAACAGAGTAATAGGTTTGCTCAGCTGTGCTAATACTGTAACGAACTTTGCATCTGAGTCCCAAGGAGTTCTCTATTTTTCTTGCAGTATAAAAAAAATAAAATAAAATAAAAAAATGTAAAAAAAAAAAATCAGACTATGTGAGGCTTTCCTCACAAAGAGGACCCCTTCCTGAGGCCTAGGAAGAATATACATTTTGTCCTTTAAGACATTTAGGAGATGCACAAAAGGAATCTCCTGCAGAGAGTCTCATTCTGCTACCCATTTTCTTGTCAAATAGCATCTTATTATGTGCACAGCCCTATTGCTTTCAGCATAAATTGGGCGAATCTTGCCCTTAGCCACAATACCACCACTGATTTTAAAATGCAGGACCCAAATTCTTTATCGGGGGTGGGGGGGGAAGGTTTCATACCCTGATGCCCAAGGAATCTGAAATCAAGTGAAATCTTTGTACCCTTTTCAGTTGCAAAAACCCTGTCAGCCGCCCAAACTGTTCCAGAGTTAGATTCATAAGCTCTTAAGACGTCCATCTGAGGGTCTCCAAGCACTTTAGAGTGAATTCGGTGGTGCCCTGTGGCACCCCTAGGACACAAGCGGAGGCTGCTATGCCTGCTCTATCAATGTAAAACCCAAGGCACAGAATAGCTGTATGGGCTGGGCAGGGCCAGGAACAGAGCTCACATCTCCTGACTCCCAGACATATCTCTGATTAGCAAACCAATCCTGTGTAGATACTACAGAGCCTCCCAGACAGATGAAGCATTGACTTGATTCTAACATCTCTACCAGGTTTTTGAGCACACAGGGGTCCTGATTGAATACCCACATGTGGCAGCCAGCAGTAGGCACCAGAGCGTGCCTTCAGCCAACTACTGGGAAGCAGCCGGAGCCTCGTGCCACTTGGCAGAGAAAAAGCAAAGCAGAAGGAGGCTCTGCCACCGCAGACCAGCCCGCAGGGCGGACACACTCCTGGATTTGCAAAAGGCCTCGGGCTCACATGTCAAGAGAATAACTGGCCAGCAAGAAGCGGTCTGCTGCTCCTCTTACTCACTGAGGTCAGTGAGGGGGGTCAGAAGCCAGACAAAGAAGGGGTCAGCCAGATTCCCCATAATCCTAGAAGTGCTGCCTCTTCCCTGTGGTGCAAATACCACTTGCTGACACCTAAACACCCCTGCTCTTTGCTTTTATCTTAACCAGCACAATCAGGGCTCTCTTCTGTAAGTGTAAAAGCACACAGAGGAGCAGGAAGTTACTAAAATCATGCAAACAAATGGTGCTATCACTATAAAGTCACTGTGGGGAAAAAAAATCATGGCGTAAAATGGAAACAAGGATCCTATGGTAAGCATAACCCACTAGTCCGATTGTGGTTTGTGTTCCTGTCTGTATGCATTTGCAAGTATAGCTCTTTGCAGTATGTCCGGCGTATGCGAATCTGGCCGTCTACCGCAAGCTATAGAGACTCGTACAGGTTTCAGCTCTGGAGAGCCCAGTGCAACCCTCAGACAACCACTTCTGTGCACGAATAACCACTTGCCATAAGACCAGGGTCCACATTCTGACACATTTCACTTGAGGAAAGAAATTACTGTGGCAAGGGGCCTGGCTGGATTGAAAAAGGCGTTTTTCTGGTCTGGCTTGAGTTTGCAGATCCCCCCGGGGCTACCAGTCTTCCAGCAGTCCTGCTACCAAAACGCGAGCCCTCACAGCCCAAATCCATCCCCCTCACTACTGGTCCAACCTTTTAACCCCACAGGCTGGATGAGTGACATGGGGTCAGGCTGCAGATGGAGTCCTGCACCGGCCAGGCCCAGGGACGTGTTTTCCACCATGCAGGGCTCCTCCCGCAGGTCCCAAATTCTGGCAGCAGAGGATGGCTAATTAACAGGACTGCTGTTCCTCCACTGCCAAATCTGCCGACCTGTGGAGAGCCCTGCAGGCCAGATGACAGCTCCGGGGGCCAGGGATCGAGCATCCTTGTCCCAATCCATAGGCAGCCATGCTGCGCTCCTCCCAGAGATGATTCACTGCTCTAGTAAGTGTGAAACCTTCAATGAGAGAAAACGTCCGTGCAGATGAGAAATGTTCTTGCTAGGTTTCCAGAGTAAACCACATGTTTGCAACTCAGAGCTACTACAGAAGTATGTGGTCTTTTTTCAGTCGCGTTATGTTATACTGAAAAGGAAAGGATGCTTGCTGACAGAAAACAGCTCACTGAAACATGAAGGAAAAGGAGAATGAAAGCAGATTTTGGAGATTTGTTTTTTTTAATTTTAACCTCAACACATTGCTTTTATAACCCAAAGACACATATGCTGTTCAGGGTAATGCAACCCTTCTCAAGCGGATAATCAACACAGATGCAATAGGTCACATCAGACCTTCAGACACATGTCCACAAAGTGGAGGGTCCTGATCTGTACTTGGAAGGCCGATGTTGCCAAGAGGCTAAAAGCACTGATCCAGACCCCGGGGGAACGCCCATCTTTTACTCCTACCTCTGGTACACTCACGTATGTGAGCCTCTTTGCTCCCACCCTGGGTCTGTCTGTCTCGGCTAAACTGCAAGTGCTTCGAGGCAGGGACTGCGCCTTACTCTGTGTGTAGCACCCAATGCAATGGTGCCTGGTATTAATTTCAGCCTCTACATTAGCGGTTCCCAAACTGTGGGTCGTAACATCAGCAGATGGGGTGGCAGGGGTGGGAGCGATGGGTCATGCGGAGGAAATGGGGCCATAAATGGGGTCATGCTGAGGAAGTTTGGGAAACACTGCTCTACATGCTACACAAATACAAATGAGGCATATCTGAGTCCCAGAGGTCTCCGGTCCCTAGGAGACTGGGCCTTCTGCTTACTACCTTGGAGTGCATCACTATTTATGGAGGTGCCAGAGTTGAGACTGCAGTGCGATTTACTCTTCAAGGAAGGATTCAGTCTCTTTGTCACATACTAATTGTAAGGTGTGTGCTCAGGAGCTCAGAGGCGACTCAAGAAGGGCTTGCTGCTTACTTTACTCATACAGTCTATTGCTGTATTTTGCATTACATACGGCAAGCAGGATTTGATCTGAAGTGACAGTCACAGCACAGACTGTCCATATTCTGCATATTAACAATGTACCTCTCACTCAGGGCAGCGTGCCCTAGAAAATACTGTTTGTTTTTTTCAGAAGGTGGGGAAAAAAATTGAGGGGACCCATTGACTTCAATTTTCTCTCATTGAGTGGATCTTCTTGCTAGGAAAAGGTGCCAGAGTGGCATCACTGGAAAATGAAGTCCTCTGTCTATCTGCAGAAAAGACAGCATGACTAGTAGCAGTACAAACTCCCTCCCCACAATATGGCCTTGGGCTGGCAGGATGCCACCTTCAAAGGTGAGTTTTTGCAACATGAAAACCCAACTGCTAAGAGCTCAGACATGACTGCCCAACCGTTCCACAAAAAATATCCAACTGTGATGGTTGCTGG